GGGGGGGGCGAGCAGCAGAAAGAGAAACCGAATGATTTTGGAATCAGGTCTGTCGTGTGTGTCAGACGGCGTTTGGGGTGGATGTTTTTATGCCAGCCAACAATGAAAACCTGTGTATTTACAAAGAGAAAGACGAGATGCTGCCTGCATTCTCCTGTAGAGCATAATTGTGTAATCGGATATGTTTATGACAGTAGAAAAAATTCATTCCAACGGGTTTATCCCACACACACAACTAAGAAATGAGTCTTTTGAACTAATATGTGTCCTTTTTTTTGTCTCGAGCCTCGGCCTCGTCCCTGCAGTCCAGATATCTGTTTCAGCCTGTGCTGGACCGAGCGTCTGTTCGGCTGCACGGGGAAACGAGTGTCTCTGACATAAGTCTGCGGCAAGCATCTCCCTGGATGAATGGCGTGGAGGGGGACGGATGAAAGGAGAATGCTGGGGTCTGGTAAGAAGATGAAAGCTGGCGGGCCGGACTCACAGCTGTTCACAATGTCTGCAAATGAAACATTGCTGTGTGACACATTAGTCAAGTCTGTTTGAGGGTGCACTGTACGTCGGAATGATATTGAGGAATGCGTCTGTACATGTGAGCATGCTTATGGAGCTATCTGTGTGTGTAGGTAAGACTTTCTGAGGACATATATCAAAAATGAAATTCCTGGGGTTCGTTTCAGTCATTGCCGGGCCCCTGGAAGCTCTGAAGGGCACTTGGATTGATGCTTTCTGTTTGCTACAGAAATGAGAATACCCCTGCTCAATAACTCTTAAATGTTAAAAAAACTGCGTCCCCACACTATATGCATTACTTTACGGTAAAAAACTAAACAAATTTTCTTTAATGCAAAGAACTCTCTGCTCTACTCCTTTAAATATAAGCAAATCTGCTTCCCTCAGAATAGCCATACAGTTTTTTTACAGTTTGATCTTCATCATCTATTGTACCGAACAAAGGAATGTAGGAGCATCTGACAGACAAGAAGAGAATCTGAATTCTAGACCTACTTTTGGGCAGAATTAAACTTTGTCTCTGTGGCTTTACGGTCATGTCTGAACCTCCATCATTCAACCCAGAAAGAACAAATGGAGTATATATAACCTTTTATATGTCACGCAATGTAACAGTTTTTTCAAGCTGCTTCAGGATTTGTAGTGACAACGTGTAACAAAAACAAAAACAGGACAAAAACCTAAAAGATTTAGCATTACGTATTGTTACCACAGCAGCTTTGCTAGCTTGCTAACATGAACAATGAGTTGCTCTTGCACGAGTTTCTTGGTAATGGACAACTTTGTGTAGCTGTTGGGATAACATTGAGCTAGCCATTGGTGGTCAATACGCACCATCGGGTTCATGCCCCAGAGTTTGATATATGGGAGCAAGCTGGAATTATATAAAAGGCCATTTTCACATGTGCTGACTGAGAAAAGCGATTCTTCAAGAGTGTTTTCTTTTCAACTGCTTATGTGGGTAATGAACAAACTATAATCAAATTAATTATGGATAGAGCTTTGAGCCAGACTTTTTTTTCCTTTCTTTTACGTTATATCTCAAATAAATTAACGATTCATTGATTCGAAATGCGCGCCGAACAGAAACCAACACACAGCACGACATACTGAGATGTTGTGCTTTTGATTACCGAGCGACGGACGCATAAATCACACAAAGGTAAGTCTGGGTGATATTCATTAATGGGAAACCAGAGGGTGGAAGTTGTTTAGATTTTCTGCCTGATTTGTCATTACAGCAGCTGCTTTGGTTAATGGTTTAACTTGAATAATTAGTTATAACGTTTTGCCACGCCTCTGTTGACACTTGAGTCTCAGTGGAGCCATTTTTCAATTAGGTGACCAGTTCAGTTGAACAGACACATTAGTGCCCCTGCGAAGAGCTGTGGCAGATTTGTGAAGCTTATTTCAAACCGTTGCACATTATTTCACATTTCCGCTGACCTCGATGAAAACATCCCTTTGGTTATTTTTCATCTAGTGAGGGAAACAAGAGAATAGAAATTAGAGGTTGAGTTCGGGTCTTATGTTGCACGACATTAGCAACTCGGTGTCTGGAGTGTGAGGGAGACCACCTGGGCCAGGGGTTTGAAACCCGAGAGCAGGTATTCAACACTGCACACGTTAAAAAAATGTTAACTCTCAAATGTAGTGTGCTAAGGTATCAAATCGGGGGTAAAATAAAGCATTTCTAAAGAATGGTGTGAGAAAAGCCACCAATTGATTCTGAAGTCTTGGTTACATCCCATGAATGATTATTAATGATTCCTGCATTGAATGTTTAATTCCACAGTGCCATATGAAAACAATAATCGGAGAGAAAAAGCAGGTATGACCATGAAGAATAACAGTAGTTTGCCCTCAAGACAACCTGGTTCTCAGGTGTTAAAAGAAGGCAGCATATCTGAGGAGGTTTTATGGCGGTAATTCATTTCCATCACACCTAACACTACAGTGTAAAAAAAAAAAAAAAAAAAAAGAACTTTTTCCCTCAGCCATGTAGTGAGTGTGATACTTCATCAAAAAGACAAGTGAAAACACAAAGGAGTGTGTGTTTCTTCGCGATGCCTGAAGCCTCGGGTCTGACCTCGTCCCCTCTCCGGCTCCCTCTCACCTTCTGCCTCCAACTCCTCTGCCCTAGGGCACCGATGGGTGGGCCTTCAGGAGAGGTGAGCCGAAGGGGCCCCCTGGCACGGCCGCTATCTAGGCTTGAAAGGAGAAGAAAAAGTAGTTTTAAGGATGACGGCTGGCCTTGACATTGTTGAGACAGTGTTCGGGCCGGGAGAAATGAGGTAAATATCAATGGCGGTGGTCTCACATAGCCCATTCGTCAATGTCTGAGCATCGGCGCAGGGCGGCCTCGGGGCGCGCGCCACAACCACCACCACTGTCTTCCTGCCGAATTGTACCCAGGCAAAAATAAAGCAACCCGAGCCGGGCATAAATCATAAGGAACATTTGTTACCTCGGGTAATTGCGCTTCATTCATCTTCAGGCCTTTTTTTCCATTTGTCAAACGCGGGAAGCCGCTGCGTGTCGGCTCTGCAGGTCTGCGCACTTCGTCAGGCCCACGGCGGCTAAATAGAACCTGCAGGGAGCAGGGACGCATTTTCTGACACGGGAGATGTCAGAGGTGGATCAGCCATCAGTCCACGACAAAGAAGAAGTAGAAAGGACCCACAAAAAGCACTTGTAAAAACATATAAAAACTTCTTTCACCAAGTACAACTAGGGTCAAACTCTAAGCAATGCAAGGGGGGCTTTGTAGCTGATAATGAAGATATGGTCAAAATAAATAAATGAAATAAAATAATAAAGTAAATTAAGAACAGTCTGAATAAGTTTTTTAAAAAACAGGCTTTCCTTGGTTGCAATGGAGACGTTGGTCTCTGTTTTGGATGAGATGGAGTTCCCTACTAATGGAAACTACTATGACTTACTGCCTGTGTGGGTTAAAAGATACGTTCAACCAATTTGTGGTCAGCGTACACTTAACAAAACTTAAAACAAGCAGAGATGTAGGATATGTGTGGGCTGGGTTTTGCGTTTTAACGTGTATTCTGATCTGCTCTTTAGGAAGGCATCTATTATCACCAATTGTAACCTCAAACACCTGCAATATCTTGGAACCTGTCTCGGGCTGTTAGCACCCTGCCACCTCCATTCACCTCAGTGACGTGCGTCTCTAACACGCTGTTGTCTGGGACACACTCCTGCACACACACACACACACCCGACGACACCCACAGCACTCTGCCAAACAAAAGCAATCTGCGGACGATGTCTTTTTGGCCTTTATTTGTTGTTTATAAAGCTCCGCTGTGTCACTTCGTAGTAGCAAGGAATGTCACATCATAATCTGATCCCATTTATTTCATCAGGTTTTTTTTTTGTTTTTTAACTACTCACAGCAAATGTTATCTCATAGCACTTTAACAAAGTGTTATGTAACTCCTGCCATATCTTATTATAAATCTTACACTCCAATTTGGCCCAATTCCTCATTTTAATGTTGTTTTATAAGAAAAAAGCCAAACTACAAAAGCGAACAGCGAGCATCAAATCTTCATTTTGGATGATTTGATGTCAAGTGAGCCAGTGAGCAAGTATAAGATTGTTCAAAAAGCATGTTTCAAACCTATTCTTGCCAAGAAAAGGAGGGGCTGAAACATCAGTTCTTGCTGGATTTCTATCTTCTAGAGTGATCATCAGCTAACAACAGAAAGAGTGTCTTCCTGTCTCCTTCCAGCTTTGTTTGCCCCTTTCAGGATCGTGATGCTTTCATCCAGCGTAGCCCTTTGTAATTCTTCCTCAGTCACGCTCACATCGGAGTAGAGCTGTCAGCAGCTGATTAGGGCCACACCTTCCAGACCTTGTGATGAAGTTTGAGCACCAGGGAGCTGTGTAGGAATTTGCGTTAACAATTAAAGCAGGTGTAGCACTTTATTTGCTTGGCTCTGACTCAGAGATGGTGATTCTTTTTTTCTCTCAGTCATCATTGTTACTTTGACCAAAATGAATTACATGTTAATGGCATTTCAAGGACCAACTATGACAAGAACGGAAGGTTTCCTCATTATTCAGTGAAAGCATGTTGTCAAGCAGGAACCTAAAACAGCACCAGTGGAAAGTCGAGGAGCAGCCGTGTCATCATGATCTTGTTCAACAAGTAACACACAAACCAAGTAAATAATGAGTGGAATAATGCTTTGAATTGTGCTTTTTATTTGCTTTTTTCTTTTTGTAGAATTCAAGTCGTATTTTAGGCCTATTCATAACAATAGCTATCTTCATGAATCTATTATTTCTGTTTAGAAAACAATTCACTGCCTCTCATATTATCATTTTTTTGTAATTTGCCCATTTGAGGCAGCAAGGAGATGGCCAAGCTGTGTGTATACATGTGCTAATACAGATAAGGAAGGGATTCAGGGGACAGAAAACAGTAACAGGCAAGATTGAGCATGTTTTAGAAGTCTTTTAAAGTTGTGTGGTGACAAATAAGTAGAAAGCGTTTCCTAATACTACTAATTTTTTTTCATTTACAGTCATCAGACCCATCCTGTTTTTCAGCACCCTCCTATTTATCGTGTCTAAGCGTTTCCAACTTCGACAGTAATTAAAAAAGACGGCTTTTGTTTTTCATTTGAATGCACATTAGTAGCAGGATCTCATAAGATCTTTTTTTTAATGCCAAATCATTGCCGAGGGCATAAAAACGATGGAATATTGTGAGGAGTCACAACTACAAATAAACAGACAGCAGTTCTCAAAGCCACGAGTTGCTGGGTGGCTGCTGACAGGAGAGGATGTCATTCATCAACAGGTGTGAGGAAACCAACGAAGATATGAGGACAGATAGTACAGGCTGGCGGCAAAACAAGAGTGCAAGAGAGAGAAGAGGACCGGGAAAACCCGCAGACGAGGTGTGCACAAACCACAGCCACATTCTCGGGCTGCAAACGCCCTTTCACCACCTCCAGTCCCCCCACCCCCCCCCCCCCCCCCCCCCCCCCACCACCCACACACTTATCTGTGTTGGATCTGGAGGGGCCGATGCTCTCTGGATCCACGTGTTGCCGGCTCCGGCGTAATTACCAGAGAACACGCAGCGAGCCCTTGCTCAAGCTCGCTAACACACATTTGGTCCCAAAACAAACAAAAAGCTTTGTAGAACAAACAACGCTAAGGCCCCGAAGGCAACCCAGCCTTCGTGACACACTTTGAAACACCCAACATGCTAAACTCGGATGAACACATGCAAAGTAGATGCGACATGTGCCAACCGGCAGCTTGTTTACCGAATTTTAAAAATTCAATACCTCTAAAGTTCGTCTCTTGGCTTTGCGTTTGGAAGAAAAGGAGGATCTGCCTCAGATAATGGGGAAGCGGCTGATATTCATAATGTATGAGGAACATAAACAACGCGGCATCTGTGCTGCATGCGATCCATTTTGGGGTTTTTGTTCAAATACAAACAAGTGCTTCTGAAAAAAACAAAGCATGTGCAGCCTACCATGAGGACCACGCCGTATAACTAAGATCAGGACAAACGGGGACAGAAGCAGCTTCCTGTTCGCCCTGCTGGATCAGTATATGTGCTGTTTTGAGCCAAGCTGGCTTCAGTCAAGACGAGACTATCTGTCCCCAAGGGAACCAGGCTATCTTTTGGTGCTCCGCGAGGGGGGGGGGGGGGGGGAAACAAATCCCAGGTCAAAAAGGGCCACAGTGTTGAGTGAGACTTCACATCGGGACGGGGTATTTAAAGTGTGTTCCTCTTTCTAATTCCGCCATCTTCATTAAAACCCTGCACCTGGGCCTGAGAGCGGTCCCTGGGGAACCCCCTCATGGCCACCACCAGCCAGGCCCCTTATATTTGTCCTTAGCCCTTATTACCTCCCCATGTATCCTTTCGTTTGTCCTCCCTACCATCTTAAGCCAGTCTCAGGGCCTCAGTGCAGAGCAAATTAATGGACAGCAAAAGAATGAGGAATTATTTGGGATATAGCTAAAAACAAAGAGTAATGGCCACTCTGAATCCTGCTTGCTGTGTTCATAATTAATAATGGGCTGTAATTTCAGGACATTTTTCAGCACTTCTACTGGGTTTCAGGAGGCTGGTTCCCAGTTGTCGTCCGGTGTTGAGAGTGTGACACATGGATTAGGAGCAGCCAGCACCTGATGAAAAGCCGCTTCTGATATGAGGGAGTTTCGCATGTAGATTTGACTCATTTGTGGTTTCATTTAGTGTTCAAATTTGAGATTGTATTTATTGAAAACATCCTCAGTATTTATTATGAATGTATTCAACAGTTGAATGACAGTCAATGTTTTGCAAATTGAGGAATTATGGAACTGTGAATGCACTTTTGAACAACTCTGAGCAAATAGAAGTAGTCAGCTAGTTGTGAGGTTGGTGAACTGATTCCTGGCCACCAGTGTACAATAGCACAGTAAAAAAAAAATCAGTTAGCATTAAAGTGGTAAATGCTATAACCATAGCCCCTTGTGTGTGTTTGAACTTGCACCATGTTGGGTGTTTTGGGGAAATAATTTTGTACCTGATCCACCAAAAATGATGCCGCAAATTGCAGGAAAGCGTTGTTTCCATCTGTCCCCTTTTGCACTGCTGCACGTGAGCCAGCAATTATTATTAATTGCTGTTGAGTTTGCAGCGTTATCTGATACTTGTATCATTTAATTTTACGTCTGGATGAAAGCAACTCCCACAGCAAAAAAAAACAACGAAATGTCTGAGTTGTAGATGTTTATTGTTAGACATAATAACTCAGAGTTATTTGTGCTATGAGGTGAATGTTATTTAACTGCCATTCTTATAGGTTTGTGTGCATGGCCGTGCCAAATGTCCTGCCAAGAGTGTGTTTACACCAGGAACCATTCCCGGTGAGAGTTTCTGCAGTCAGCCAGCAGTGGTCCAGCCAGGGTCCAATCCCAATCCGTGTTATTATTACTGGTAGCATTACCACGCTTAAGCGCCACAACATAATTTGAACCAATAAGAAGAAATTAGCTCAATGCGATGTATGCACAACGTGTCCAAAGCCCTGCGACACAAACCACTCACGCAGAAGAAACAAGGCCGGACCCCTGAGCACATGTGAGCACAAATTCTCCACCGTTTGTCTTCTAAACACAGGCGGGCTCGGATTTCAGGACTTGCGCGCTCCTAAATGTATATCGAAGTACACATCGGGCTGCGTGTCACTACTGTTTACAGGAAAGTGATTTATGGGCCTTTTTGGGAAGAAGAGGAAGCAGTGATATGGTGTGAATAACTTTCAAGGAAATGGTGAGGGGAGATCACGCTACTGTGACCACTGAATAATCCCCAGAAAACGCATCCATGACGACAATTACATATGTAAAATTAAAGAGAAGGCAGACAGGATTGCCTATCAATTACATATTGCAATAACATCATAGGACCATTACTGAATTAGCCCCCACTGGGGTGGTGGTGGGGG